TTTTATTTTTATTTTATATTAATTAATATTATTAAATATTAGGGATTGATGATGTGGCAGATGACTAGGATGTCATGTCAGCATTAAATAATATTGTTTTTCGTTCAGGGTTTTATTTGCTAATTTTTAAAAGTATAGAGTTTTAATTACCAATTTTTAAAAGTACAATGTTTTTTTGGATCAAAAAAAAGTATAGGGTTTAAATTGAGACGAGAGAAAAATACAGGGTTTTAAATGGAATTATCCCTAAAAATATATTTCCATAACAAAATTGAGCAAAGGGCAGAAGAGTAATTTTATATTTCCATGGCAAAATTGAGGAAAGGGCAGAAGAGTAATTTCGGAACCAGCAGAAGCCATGTTCACTTGTCTGTTGTAAAGGGAAGAAAGGTGTTGCGGGAGAAGAAAACAAACCTCTGTGTTCGCTACATAATTCTTTGAACAGTCTCCTTCACTAATGAAGAAAGCCCCACCTGAGCCCTGAATACTTTCAAAAAACCATTTTCTCCGCCATGGAAATTTAGGAAATTTGACGAGATTGCTTCGAAAATCATTGAACCCTCAGTCCAATTATTGTTCATCACTCTCCCAAGAAAAAAATAAAAGAAAAAAGGAGGGAGAAAAATCTCACCTTTACCAGCTTATCGAACCAGCAAGCAAGTGAGATCTTCTTTTCCCGTTTGGATAGATGTTTGTTTCTCGGGAAAATCTTAGAAGACGGGAATTCCTTTTTGTTCCGTAACTTTCATTAATTCGTTTTCTAATTCTCCAAATTGCTTTATTTTATTATTTTTCTGGGTTTTTGTGTTTGGTTTGTGTTGCTAACTTCAAGGACAATCTTTATCAGTTTCAGGAACTATCTCTGGAGCAGTCATTGGTGGTTCATTCATCAAATCTAGGGTTTTCGGGAAATGGGTACTGAGAAATCTGCATCCTTTTATCTCTTTTCCAATAGAAGAGTCCGGTTTCTTTAGGATTCATTGCGTTTTCAGACACCTTTGTTTCAATCAGTGGCTTTGTTCTAAAACTAGATTGTGATTGATTTGATTTGACTTGACATAGGTTTTGTCTAATTTGCAGAAATCCTCCGATCAGATTGGTTGGTTGATCGATCCCTGATGAATTCAAGAGCATAGTCTGAGGTGATAGTAATGCGACCATGGCTAAGAAGAAGGGTTTGTTCACTCTGTTGAAAAGGATTTTCGTTTCGGAAGCTAACCCAGAAAAGGTTAAAAAAAAAAAGACAAAACGGAAATCTTGGTACTTCTGTCTTGACGTGCCCTGTTCTTGTTTCATTTCAAAGTTTGCAACTTGTCTTCTATTTTTATTTTAGCAGAAAGAGAAGAGAAGAAGATGGGCATTCTGGAAGCTTAAGGTCAAGAAAAGGTTACCTTCCATTACAGCACCTCCAAGGGACAGGACTGGAAGTGAAGCACAGGACAAGAACACTGTGACCCGTGTGGGTGAGGTCAAACAACTCTCTTGTAGTCCTCAGTTAAATGTCAAAAAAAGGTTAGAAGAAGATTCAGAAGCCAAAACAGAGAATGACATCACTGATCCACAGCCTGAGGATCAGATCTTTAAGAAAGGACAGATTGAAGAACTTGCTGCAATTCGGATTCAGACCGCATTCAGGGGTTATCTTGTAAGATCATGGATACCTATTTCTTTCGATGGTTCCATATTTATGATTCGTGAATTTTCAACTTATTTGCATTGGTATAAATGTGGAGGACAAGAATAATCATTTTAGTTTAAACGCGAAGTTTCTCAGTAACTGGTTTAACTGGAATGTCAGTCAAGATTTGTCATATTTCAGTGTGTAGATTTAAGAAAAACATCAGGGTTCATTTGGAATTAATGGTTTTTGCGGATGATCAGATTGTTTTGGCGTATGTTTCAGGCAAGGAAAGCTCTACGTGCCTTGAAGGGGATAGTGAAGCTGCAAGCATATATCAGAGGTCGAGCTGTGAGACGCCAAGCAATGACTACCCTCAAGTGCTTGCAGTCTGTTGTGAACATTCAATCACAGGTCTGTGCAAAGAGAACACAAATCCCCGGAAGTGCTCTCAAGCATTACGAAGAGAGCAAAGAGTTTCAGATGTTCAAGGACAAGATAATCAAGGTAGTTAGAATTGAAAGGGCAATCTGTGTGGGAATTTTATGTTTGGTTATTAGTTTCTGTCTTAGGAAGATTTACGAGACTGTTTGAGAACTGTTTCAACTTTCAGGTGGACACAGATAGCCAAAAGAGATGGGATGACAGTCTAATGACAAAGGAAGTGGCTGAGACATTGGTTATGAGCAAGAAAGAAGCTGCCCTGAGGAGAGAAAGGATAAGGGAATATGCAGTCACTCACAGGGTATCCATGTGTTTCACTCATTCATGGCTGTGATTTAGTTTTTGAATGAAAGTGTTTTTGTAACAAGGGGAAATGGTCTCTCTGTAAACTTTCAGAAATCCGCAGAATCGTACCAGAAGAGGCATAACACAAGATGGAAGTACTGGTTAGACCAATGGGTGGATACCCAACTTACCAAGAGCAAAGAACTAGAAGATTTGGACTTCTCTTCAAACACGAAACCGAAAGACGAAACTTTCAGGGACAAACAGCTTAAAACTCCAAGAAATTCTTCACCCAGAAGATCGATAAATCACAGAAGGCAAGTTTCGGTAGGAGAAGATGATCAGAGCCCTGCCCTTCCGTCACCCGCTGTTGCCACACGGACTTACATGGCTGCAACCGAGTCTGCAAAGGCAAAGGCAAGATCTTTAAGCTCCCCGAGGGTAAGACCCGGAAGCTTTGACACGCAGTCAGAGAGTTACTCGCCATACAAGAACAAGCTCTGCCTGTCATCCTCCATTATGAGCGATGCTCCGAGCAGAGTTAGGGTTCATAAAAATGGCAGCAACGTCAACAGGCCGAGCGGTTACCAGCAAAGATCTCCGGGACTGAGGGGCTTTAACGCTGGCCCCGTGAACGATCTTAGCATTAACTCTGAGCGTTCATTACCAAGCTGGAACAGGCAGAGCAGTTTCAGATGAGTCCTTTGAGAGGCAGTTCCTTCCTTTTTCTTCATCTTGAGCTGTATATATACTTTTCTCAAGTGTTCCACTGAAAGTTTCTTCCGTGTATGTAGGAAATCTCGTTTCGTTTTTTTTTTTTGGTTCAAGTTCTTTTCTTTGTTCGATTCCATTTGATTCTTGTGTTTTCCGATATAATGTAACGATCTGAACCCTAAATTTTCTCGGTTTCTACTGGTTTAGATAGTTATTGGTCTAATTCTTACTGAACTTGAAAAAGAATTTCAGAGCGGCGAGTCACTGAGTCACCGAGTCGTAATGTCGTTTCGTTTGCATTCTCGAGAAAACAAAGAAATTGTCCGAGAATACTGGGAAAAGAGCAACTAGTTATAAACAAAAGATTTTAGACATAAATACATAAATACAAAATAAATATATTATCGTCTTAAAATAAATAAATTTAATGAGGGTTGAATTAATCTTTTTTGCAAGTTTCTGACAAAAAGGAACAAGTCGAACATGCAATCAAAATCTGTCCTCTACACTAACTAGACAATCCTCACATGGATGTTAGAATCGTTAGCATTTAATAAATAATTTCCAATAAATTCAATCCCATCAAAACAATTTTCTTCAAATGGATGAAGCACTCTTATCTTGTTTAGAAATTAAATGACAAATGTGGCATCCATTCATATGATCATTCAATGCTGGCTTTCAATAAAGGCTTATACCTGTATACATTTTGAAATAAAAAATTTTGGAGAGATTTTTTTTTAAAAAAAAAAATCATAGGCTTCTGTTGGTGTTTTGAAACTTTTTCTTAAATAGGAAAAATTTTCTTCCCCTCTCCATGACATTGCACTTTGTAAAATGAGAAAACAGAATTAAAATCATGAACCTTGCAAGAAATAAAAAAAATACACAAAATTTTGTAAAAAATCAGCAAAAAACCATACATCATCAAATATCTAATTTTTTGGAAGTCCTTGTAAACTTTATGATTTTAATTGGGAGTTCAAAAAAGTTTTAGTGAACTTTAGAATTTATGTATTATAATGAGAGTTGATAACGAATTCATGTATTTATGCGAGATTTTTTTTCTAAAAAAATTAGGAAACAAAAGAAACGAAGTTAAGAGGGAAGAGAGAGCCAGTAGCCAGCGGTCAAGTTGGTACAATGTAATACCCGCAGTTTTCCACCTTACAATATTCGAGAGGCTTGTCTTCTCCGTCCAAAAGGTGGAATGTTACGGTCGCTTTCACGTCTTCAGCCAGCCATCTGTGCAATCGAAATACATCGTAGAAGAAAAATAAGTGATCTGACCTTATATTGGCGTTGAACTTCTGATGGTTCCTGTGATCCTTTTCTCTCGAATGGTTCAAACCGGAATTTGGTTGATAGTGTTAGAGTCCCACATCGGAAATATGTGGGAACAATTGAGTCAATATAATACCATGGACACCCTCCCCCAACAAGCTAGCTTTTGGAGTGAATTCTACCCATGGGTTTTGAGATTTTGTTGGGCCCATTATTAATGGAACAGCTTGTTAGGATCTTCACCTTCTCCGCCCTCGAAGCAGCATTCACCACAAATGTATAACCCTAACTCCAGAGAGTAGTCTGTGAATGCAACAGATATGCATAGAGCTAAACCTTTAGAACCCTCTTGACAAAATCTCGAAGGCAGTTGCATGGTTATCCGAGGCCCTCTTTCCCAATGAGTGAACCAATCCGGAATGCTGCAGCCCAGTAATGACACCATACCTAATCTACTTTTCTGTAAAATCAAAGAGAGAGAGAGATTTGGCTAAGGACCCATGAAACCATAACTACTAATGCACAACCGTAGGTGCCACTCAGTATCAGTATGAATAAACGGCTCCATCTAACTCTAGCTTCTTATATTTATAAATGTAACTCCCATATTTTTCAAGTGTTCTGTCCTTAAAACTTGGTTCAACTACATGCATAACCTACCCAATGCTTTTGTTCCAAAGTCTGAAACAACAACTTCGCAGCAGCTACTCTCTTGACTGTCACATCTTCCTGCAACCTGAGACAATGATTGAATATGTAGTTTCCTCCAAATGCTCCTGCAAAAAATTCCATATTACCGCATGTAGTTCCCAAAGATGCACATTCATGTGCATTGAAATTCCGCAGACTATTAGGGAACTTCGGTACTGATCCAAGTCCTTCGTCGTAGCTTAGGTCTAGAATTTCAACATTCGAGAGATACTTCATACAAGCAGGCAAAATCCGAAAGCCATTCCCACTCAAATCTAAGTTCCTCAATGATGTTAGACAACCAATATCTTGAGACAATGATTCCAGATTTCTGCAGTAGCTTAGGTCAAGCATTTCCAGCTTCGAGAGATGCTTGATAATAGGATGCAAAATCTGAAAGTCATTTCCACTCAAACGTAATCTTCTTAATGATGTTAGACAACCAATATCCTCATACAATGATTCAAGTCTCCTGCAACAACTCAGATCAAGCTCATATAGCACTGAGAGATGCTTGATAGTAGCAGGTAAACTCTTAAAGTCATTTCCACTTAAATCTAACCTCATCAATGATGTCAGACAACCAATGTTCTCAGGGATCTGCTCAATATGCAAATTTGACATTTCAAGGGTCTCCAGAGAGCGGACTCTCGACAATGGAGGAACTAATAATGGCACAGGGTCGAGGCTGTAACAATATCCCGAAATACGCAGGTCGGTGAGCTTCGTCGTCTCCTTTTTAAATGGCGGCAGTTGTCTTATGGATGCTCTAAGAGCTCTGAATGAATATAAATTGTCCAGGTTCCACAATGTCTCTGGTAGCACAGAGAGATTTCGGCAGTCGTTTAACCACAAACGCTCAAGTCTGAGAAGCCTTTCAATTGAAGAGGGAAGCTCTCTTATGGCTGCTCCGGTTAAAAAAATCTCCTCCAAGCACTCGTTTCGCTCCAGAACTTCTGGAATTTCTTCCAGCTTTGGGCAATCATAAAGAAGTAACTCTTTAAGAGCTTGCATCTTCCAAATGTCACCAGGTAGAGACTTGAGGCTGTCACAGTAGCTAAGATTTAGATGAGATAACATGCAGAGAGAACTGAATGAGGGGGAAAGCTCTCCTACTCCTACAACCAATGTTCTTCTCCCAGGCTCTGACTCGCATTCTTGTTTGACAATATCCCCGCCAAGCTCTTGCAATGGATCCGACATCTCAATCTTGTTCCTTCTTATAGTTATGAGTGCCTTGTCCTCAAGAACGCTTAACCCATAATGCACAGCGTGATAACAACCATCAAGTAATGTGGCCACCTCATCTTTATCTTGTCCTGTGAAGAAACAAGCAATATCAAGAAATATGTTTTGCAACTCTTCATCTTCTAGACCGTCATAGCTAACTTTCAATATGTTGCTAATTTCCAGGTTGGAAACTTTGCCGATCTTTTTCAAGGCAATTTCCCACTTGTCTATCTTTGCCCCGAAGAGAGCGAGCAAAGACCTTTAGTGCCAGAGGAATCCCCGAAGCATAATGAACCACCTTCTTATGGAGCTCATCATAAGCTTCTATCTGATGTTCTGAGATATAAGCATTCTGGTAAAACAGTCGCAATGCTTCATCATTGTTTAATCCCTCCATATCATATACTTTTACTTTGTCTTTGGTGAAAATGGTGAGCACATGTCTATCTCGTGTGGTTATGATCACACGGCTTCCAGCACCAGACTCAGCGAGCCCTTTAAACAAAATTTCAAGTTGTCTCTGATGGTTCACATCATCAAGCACAGCCAGTACTCTTTTGCGACGAAGCCTATCTACCACAAAGCTCGGTAGCATAGAAGTGCCTATGTGTATATCTTCACCCAGAATCACAGATAAACTCTCATTCCTCTTCTCCACAAGGCCACCCTTCACTTCAGTTTCTCTAACACTCCTGAAGAAATAAGAGCCTTCGAAATCACCAGAGATTTGGTCGAACACAGCTTCAGCAAGAGTGGTCTTACCAATTCCACCCATTCCCCATATCCCCACGATGCGAATATCTTCTTCGCCAAACTCTAACAACCTCAGAACCTTCTCCATCCGTGAATCAATTCCCACTAAGCCATTGTCAGGGTTTGGTCTACGTGATATGCAGCGTAATTTTGTGAGTATCTTTAACAACTACGTCTACCAACACGGAATCAGACCTGTGAAATGTACATCAATCGGACTTTGGAGCCAATAAAATCACCCAGAAATAGCAATGAAAGGATTGAAATAGCTACTTACGTCCATTCTGATGAATCATGGCCAGAGAGATTGGCTGCTTCGTGTAACGCAGACCTCCACTGGTTCACTTTCTCCGTGTTGTCCTTGTATTTCTCTTTATGCCGTTCAAATGCAACAGCAAAGCTTTGCTTTTGCCACCGTACTTGTGAAGGATCCACATCGTAGAAGATGGGTATAACCAATTGGTCCATTGTTTTCTTGCATTGAAGAATCTCGACCAGTTCTTCCAAGCACCACCTAGATGAAGCGTAGTTCTCGGAAAAGACCACCAAAGATACCTTGGATCCTGCGATTGCCTCCCGAAGGACTTCTGAGATCTCATCCCCTCTCTCGATCCGGTCATCGTGGAAAACATTGACACCTTTCTTGAACAGTGCAGAACTGAGATGGCTTGTGAAGCTCCTGCGGGTATCTTCACCTCTGAAGCTGATGAAAACATCGAATGTTTGTCTCCGACGTTTAGAACCAACAAGAGGAAGTATAGAACCATCACCAAAGATCTGATTAATCTTCCTGCATCCTTCTTTTGATCTGTTCATAATGATTACAACGATACAAGCAGAATTGGTTTGCAGACAACAGACTTGGATCCCGTGTCTTCCTTGTTGCAATTGAAGGAGCTAGTTGAATAGTCTAACTAAATGCAAGAAAACTTCTCACAAATACGACATGACTTCCGATTGCAAGTAAACTCCTTAGAATTGATTTTAAATTTATTATTATTATTTTTATCTTATATGTATGGTGGATAGACATTAATAACAATTTTTTTAATTAGAAATGAAAAGACTTCTTCCTGTCAGAGTTGACAAGTACATAAGTACTTTTGTTCTATATTTTGATTCAATTGATTTCAATTATTGGAAAATCCCCCCCCCCCACCACACTCACACACACTTCCAGTACCGCAGCTTCTTGTCAGAGTTATTATAATCTAAACTGAAAATTAGAATTAGTTGAAACTGAAGCAATCAAATGCCGATATGGATCAGGTATCCATATCCTTCCAGTTGAGCCATTCAAAGCTAGGAAAACGGTTAATTTCAGTCAATACCACTCTTAACATTAACGGAATTTTAACAATCAAAACTCAAATCTCATCCAAATTCAGAACCCGCTTCAGAAGTGACTAAACTGAAGTATGGACAAGCAGAAGGTGCAGAACAGTTGCAGTAACGGTTCTAGGATTGATCGCTAGATATTCTTAGCATAAGAAGGGTACATCCATAGCTGCAAGAAAAATCCGGGAAACGTATCAACAAAGGCTACGTTTCCCAGGTCCGACAACTATATAGTGCCCTAAATCCTAATTCGAAAAAAAAAAATCAGAATCGTAACACTGAGAAACTTTCGCATCGACATTGTATCGGTACAAACCAGAATAGCATACAATTGGCCCTAGAATCTCCACAAATACAGATTTTACCACATCAATTGCAAATACGTGATCAAATATCCAAACCCCAGAAACCCTAAAATCACCCCCATTTCTTCAGGTCACAGCACCAGATACGAGAAAAACGAGTAATTCAACGCAAACTTACTGACTCGACGGACGCGGCGGCCGGTGCTTCAAATAATCCTCACCTGTAGAAAAGTTGTCGTCGTCGTCCAATGAAGACGCGCCGATTCATGATCGATTTCAATTTGTATATAGTCTTTATCATTACTTATATTATCCTACCTTCCTTTTTCCACAACTGAAACTGGAGTTATATCTTGGATTTTATATTATCCGACGAAAATAAATATGCTTATGTAAAACTCTATATACGATCAATGACAAATTTACTATATATAAAAATATTGTTCTCTAATACAATAAATCAAACAACATAAATAACAAACATTATTATATAATGCAAGGATTCACATTGTTTAGTTCTTCCCAGAACTTGGTTGAACCTGAATAGAGTATCTAACTTTCCCAACGTATAGCTTATGCTTACCAAACGGGATTCTTCTATTCCCGTTCTCACCCACAACGGCAAGATGCTGGCAGACATCAAGTTCCACTTGAATTGTCTTTTTTGCCCCTGCCCCGATTAGAACCTTCTCGAACCCGACCACTTGCTTGTTCAGACCCAGTGCAGTGGCTTCTCCGACCGGAGGTTTAGCGAACACGAAGAGGGTGTCGCTCCCATCGATCGCCCCCGTGTTGGCCACCTCTACCTTCAAGGGTATTTTCGATATTTTGTCGCAGTTGGCTTGAGAGACTTCTACGTAATAGGCCGAGGTTTTTGGACTTGAAACCGGGACCGAGATCTTGGTTGGTGGAGCTTGCAGGGAGGTGTGGTTGAAAGTGGTGTAGCTCAAGCCAAAACCGAACGGGTAAACGACCGGGCCATTGTAGTACTTGTAAGTCCTCCCCGGGAAACCTCCCGACGGTCGCATGGCCATGTTCGACATCGGGATTTTGTCCACGTAATCTTCCGAATACCACGTCATCGGTAACTTCCCACCTGTGCATTCAATACGTATATATATATAATATAATATATAATATGCTCGATATGGACCACCATGCATGAGGACGCATTTGATAATTGTGATACCTGGGTTAGCTTTGCCGAAGATGATATCGGCGATGGCGGCACCTCCGGCTTGACCTGGATACCCGGCCCAGATGATGGCCTTGACACGTGGGTTGTTCTGGGCGAACGACACGTCGACAGGGCCACCGCTCATGAGGACCAATATGGTCGGACCCCTCGAGGCTCGAGCCACACGAGACACGAGCTCTTGTTGGTGGCCTGGCAATAGCAGGCTTGTCCGGTCTAGTGATTCGGCCTCTATGGATAGGTCTGTTCCCATCACGAGGATAGTCGCATCAGCGCCACGCGCCGCCACCTCGGCCGAATCGAATTGCTCGTTCCCGGTGCATGAAACTCCCACACAACCCTGGAGATACAGAGTTCTTGCGTATCTAGAGATGCCTTGAAGCGGAGAAGTGTAAGCACATGGTTTTCCGGCATAGTTTCCGATCATGGTTTGGGTCACGTCCGAGTTGGGTCCGATAACGGCTATGGTGCGGTAGCGCGTGGGGTCCAGAGGAAGCGCGTGGCGGGCAGAGTTTTTGAGAAGGACAATGCCTTGATGGGCTGCTGCAAGGGCCAGATCTTGATTGGCCCGAGTGCACACATCTCCTGGTCCAAGATTACCGTACGGACCAAGGTTCCCATCAAACATGTCCCTTTCTCACCGCACCTTCCGTGTAGCTCGGCAAAAACGCTCCACAATCGAGGTCTAGTCCTGCAAAACGGCACGACATCACGATTAGAATATGTTTGTGGTTATCATTATTATTATCATGGCTAGTAGAGAGAAAACTCACCGGCTTTAATAGAAGCTGCAACCGCTTCCTCCGGAGTTCCGGTGTATTGTTGTTTGTTGAAAAGCACTTCCACGGAGTCGCAATCCGAGACAATATACCTGTGTTTTTTTGCAAATGAATATTTGTATAATTATGTTTAAATGAAACGGAATTTGACGGGAATCATTAGGTTATTAGGTCATCGGATTTTCACCCTTTAAGATTCCATTCGCCACGGACGATATTCTTCAAGAGATTCACGTCTGCACATGTCGGTTTTCCGTTAACCTGGTTGTAAGAGCACATCACACTTGCGACGTTTCCCTCTTTGACGCAGGTTTCGAATGGCACGTTAAATGTATCTTCTAGATCTTGCTTTGTAACCTTCTCGGCAAACAAAAGAAAAACACAACTCAATAAAAAAAAAAAAAAATTGGCTATGCAAAGAACATAGAAACAAACTGTATAATATATGAATACTTACGTTAGCGTTGAAATGGAGACGGTCAACGCCCATCCAGTTATCAAGATCGTAGGCAGTGTAATGTTTGCAACAGGCGGCGACTTTAAGACTGTCTCCATTGCCGGAGCCTTGAAGTCCCCGGACGTAGCTGGCTCCATACTTTCCGGAAACAAAAGGATCTTCCCCGGGAGTTTCTTGGATGCGTCCCCACCGCGGGTCGCGGACTATATTCACGTTAGGGCTCCAGTACGTGAGACCGGCCGTACCACCGTTGTACATGGCTCTTGCCTCGTTAGACACCACCTAAATTCATGCAAATCAATAATAACGTATATGTAAGATGTGAATACCCTCTTTTATTTTTAGTTGGATTGGAAAAATATGATTTTTTAAAAAATTCAAATTATGAACCCGAATTCAGAATCGGTGCCTAGTGTGAGTGAGTATGGCCTAATTATATTCTCACCCGTCCGATCTCTTCCCAGAGCGACTGGTTGAAGGAGGCCGCGGTGGTGATGACCTGAGGGAAACTAGTGGCGGCTGGGTATGCACCGCCGAACCTAGTGCCGGGGCCCACGTCCGAGACGCCGTGAAGAGACTCCGACCACCACTTTGGATGCGGAGCCGAGGCACGGCGGCTGCGTTATCACCTAGAAGCTGGACCTTCTCCAGCAATGTCAGCCGTCCGATCAAGTCCTTGACCCTCGCCTCAATCGGTAGATCGACCCTGCAGAAAGGCAGCGCCCGAGTGAAATCGCTCGTGGGGTCGCACGCGAACGGCGTCCGAGCTGATTCAGCTGAGTGGACCGACCACAACACGACCAACACTGTGACGATGTTCTTGCAAGAGATTTTCATTTCTTTTAAACGTGGAATTCTCTGTCTTTGTGATTTTCGTGTGTTTTGATTGCTTGTTGCTTGCATGCATGCATGCGTGCGTATTTATACGGAAATTTTCTATCAGTTGGTAACTAAGCGCTTTCTATTTTTTGAAAAATTTTAAGTATTATCTGTAATTACTTAACCGTATATCCATACAGATCCAAACAAAAGACCAAAAAGATTATGATGACATCTCCTTGTTTGAAAAATCTGTAATAACTCTTCCTGTTTTTCCAACTTATTCCATCTTCTTGTTTGTAACAACGTAGACTTCTGTTTCCATACAAAAAGTATTAGATTAAATTATTGGAATGTTTATATTTCAGAAGATTCCATTAAAAATTCAGTTTATTTTACGGTACCGTTGTTACTATTTAGATTAAAAAAAATGGTAATACTTTTAAAATTTTGGTTTTTATATCGGTTTTTATTCGTGTTCCAGACAAGTTTGATGATAATAAAATTTCTAATTGTTATCATACAAAGATGATGATTCTTAAGAAGTTTGATGATAATAAAGATTTATAGTTTGTTCACAATTCCTCCTAATTACGATCCGACCGAACCATAGGCACCGGCCGCCGCGTCAGTCGCAGTCTCACTTTCGAGTTCTTGAAGTAGAAGCATCTGTTGCGCCCGTCGAGTAAGTGCGTTTGCGTTGAAATCCTCGTTTCTCTCGTATCTAGCGTTGTGAATTGAAGAAATGGGGTTGATTTTAGGGTTCCTGGGTTTTGGATGTTTGATCGCGTACTTGCAATTGTTGCGGTAAAATCTGTGTTTGTGGAAATTCCAGTGCCAATTGTAAGCTATTCCGACTAGTACTACAAATACAGTGTCGAAACTGTCGATGCGTGTAGTTTCCCAGTATTGTGTTTCTGATTTGCTAGGAATTAGGGCACCGTATCGTTTTCGGACCTGGCGAATGTAGCCTTTCTTTTTACATTTCCGGGGATTTTCTTGCAGCTATGTATGAACCCTACTTATGCTAAGAGTATTTCGCGACCACTCCTTGAATCTTTGGTGCAAGTGTGGATCATATTTGGTTGGTTCTGCAGCTTCTGCTTGTTCATACTTGAGGTTTAGTCAGATCTTAAGTCGACTCTGCATTTGGATAAAGATTAGAGTGTTGATTGTTGAAATTATGTTAGTGTCAGAGTGGTATTAGATTATTGTTACTCTGAATTAAAGCATCAATACTGGAAGTCATCGTTTTTTGTTAATTTGCAGTTCGCCATTTCTGTTTGTAGGGAGGCCGAGTCATCTTCAGCTAAACTCAGAAGAAATTTCTGGGCTTCCACCACTGATGATTGAGAAGCTTTCAGACGCTTCACATCTTTGAACTCACAGACTATCCCTCTGGGGAGTGGCAATATGACCATGTTTCTCATGTTCCTGTTGCGAGGGCAGGAAGGGCATTACGGAAGGGAGACACAAATGGGCATCCTTCATCTCTTCCCCGTAGCAAATGTCCAAAAGGAAAATTGCCTCATTCTAAGAATATTTCAGAAGCTGTTGGCTGATTGCTAGTGCCTCCACAGCTCAAGGGAAGGTTAGTCCATTGCACTCTGTTTTGTTGTTTTCAGGAGTAGCTGATCACTAATTGAGCAATTGTAAATGTAGGATGCAGAAATTGTAGTTGATTGGAATTTATTTCAGGAGATCAATATATATTTAGTTTGGTTGCAAACCTTCTGATTTAGTTTGTATTTTCCAAAATCTGCTGTTGGATTTTGCGTCTGCGTGTTAAATGGCCAAAGAATATGTACCTTTGTACGGAATCCAAAACCCAGGAAAAAATGCGGACAAGAAGAAGTTTGGGTTTTGATTCTTGTTATGTGATGTTCCCTCTTTTTCCTTGTTTGTGTTTGAGTGTTTCTCGCTCTGAAGTAGCTGAATCTGATCTCTTTATTGGATAAGTGTAACTGTAAATACTTGGTCGAAGGAAGTCTAGTAGGTTTGAATTTGTTACCGGAGATTATTCCATTTCCAGGTTCGGATTAGACCCTTCGACTCAAGAGATTGTTCCTCGATGTTTTTCAGTTTCCTAAGGATTTTCGGAACATCGACATTAAGACGTGATAGCGTGTTCTGTTCATATTAAGATGTTGTGAACATGTGTTGGATCTTACAGTTCAAGATGGATTCAAACTGGTTACTGATGTTTTACATGAAATTAGGGTATGTTGATATAAAAAAGATCAGGGGAGAGGTTTCTTGCAACGACTTTGACTATTCAAAATTATTGAAACGTGTTGGCTATCTTCTTTGCGCGTATTTATTTCTAATAACTTTAAAGGCATTGACTTGGTCTCGTCAACGATCAACTCCTCCTACTACAATTGCAGCAAATGAAGACGATGAGTTGTGCATTTGGACAAAGTCTCTTGCTCTGCAAACCTCTTCTTCCTCTTTCGCCATGAACGGATCAAACCAAGGATGTGGCACTAATCATAAGATCGTCGGTCATGATTCTTCACTTCCTCTTGTCGGCTCTAAACGCCGAAGACGAACATTCGATGTCTTCATCAGCTTCAGAGGTGTAGACACGCGCAGGGACTTCACAAGCCATCTCCACAAAGCACTGTCTGAGAAAGGTATCGATGCTTTCGTTGACGACCGAATCGAAAGGGGGGATGAGATCTCGGAAGCCCTTGTGGAGGCCATCCAAGGATCTCAGCTGTCTTTGGTTGTCTTCTCTGAGGACTACGCTTCATCCGGATGGTGCTTGGAAGAGCTCGTTCAGATCCTTCGATGCAGGAAAACAATGGACCAATTGGTTATACCCATCTTCCACAACGTCGATCCTTCGCACGTGCGGTGGCAAAAGCAGAGCTTTGCTGCTGCATTTGAGCGGCACGAAGAGAGATACAAGGACAACACGGAGAAAGTGAACATGTGGAGGTCTGCGTTACACGAAGCAGCCGATCTTTCTGGTCATAATTCATCAGAATTCAAGTAAGTAGCTTCCGCTAATTTTTCGTCGCCATTTCTTCGTGATTTTGTCTATTCTTGAATCTGATTCAGAAATATTTCACAGATCTGATTCCATGTTGGTCGACGCAATTGTTAGTGATACTCTCGAAAAGCTACGTCGCATATCGCGTAGACCAAACCCTAACAATGGTTTAGTGGGGATTGATTCACGGATGGAGAAGGTTATGGGGTTGTTAGACTTTAGTGCAGAAGATATTCGCGTCGTGGGGATATGGGGAATGGGTGGAATTGGTAAGACCACTCTTGCTGAAGCTGTGTTCGACCAAATCTCTGGCGGCTTCGAGGGCTCTTATTTCTTCAGGAATGTTAGAGAAACTGAAGAGAAGGGTGATCTTGTGGAGAGGAGAAATGAGTGTCTATCTGTGATTTTGGGGGAAAATCTACGAATAGGAACATCTATGCTACCGAGCTTTGTGGTTGGTAGGCTTCGTCGTAAAAGAGTACTGGTTGTGCTTGATGATGTGAACCATCAGAGACAACTTGAAATTTTGTTTAAAGGGCTCGATGAGTCTAGTGCTGGAAGCCGTGTGATCATAACCACACGAGATAAACATTTGCTCAGCATTTTCCCGAAAGACAAAGTAAAAGCATATGATATGGAGGGATTAAACGATGATGAAGCATTGCGACTGTTTTGCCGCAATGCTTATGTCTCAGGCCTTCAGACTGAAGGTTATGGTGAGCTCGCAATGAAGGTGGTTCATTATGCTTCTGGCATTCCTTTGGCACTTATAGTCTTTGCTTGCTCTCTTCGGGGCAAGGGCAAACACGAGTGGGAAAGTGCCTTGAACAAGCTCGGGAAAGTTTCCAACCTGGAGATTAGCAAAATATTGAAAGTTAGCTACGACGGTCTAGAAGACAAAGAAATACAAAACATATTTCTTGATATTGCTTGTTTCTTCAAGGGGCAAGATAAAGATCACATGACCAGGTTGCTCGATGGTTGTTATCACGCTGCCTCTTATGGTTTAAGTGTTCTCGGTGATAAGGCACTGATAAATTTAAGAAGGAACAAGATTGAGATGCCGGATCCGCTGCAAGAGCTTGGTTGGGATATTGTCACACAAGAATGCGAGACAGAGCCTGGGAGAAGGAGTCGATTGTGGAGACCTGAAGATGTTCACCGTCTTCTCAAAAGGAATAATGTAAGAAGAAGTTTCATGATTTTGTTTCATCCCTTAGTATGCAAATTCATGTCATTTTTCCTTATTTTTCCCTCTTATATTTCAACATGGTAAGAAGGATTTGCACTGATGGCAGTTTGGCTCCCTTTACAGGGTACAGAGGCAGTCAAAGGTATATTCTTGGATTTGTCAAAAGTAATGAAGTTGAACATAAGCCCGGATGTCTTCGAGAAGATGTACAATCTCAGATTCCTCAAATTCTATAACAGCAAAGGGGTAAACACTAAAGTGTGTCTGCCATGTGGCCTCGAATCTCTTCCTGATGAGTTAAGGTACTTATGTTGGCCTGAGTTTCCGCTGAAGTGCCTGCCATCTGAATTTTGTCCTGAGAATCTTGTTGAGCTCGACATGAGACATAGCAATTTTACGCAGCCCTGGAGCGGTGCTCAGGTAGATGAAATGTGAATATATCCTTGGCATCTTCTTCGATTCCGTTTTCTTTCATTGTGTTGTATACATGTTTGTTTTTTATTATTCTATCAATCTTGCGGATACGAATTTAACTAACCATATCATTTGTTTATGCAGAATCTGTGTAGCTTAAAGAGTTTAAATTTGGCATACTCGCTGGAGCTGAATAAATTGCCCAATCTAACGAGGGCCACAAAACTAGAGCGGATTATTCTGCGAGGTTGCTGTCAGATAGATGAATTTCCTGAGAGTTCAACAAATGTTAAAGAAATAGATCTATCTAGGACTGCAATAGTAGAAGTGCCTTCTTCAATTCAACATCTCTCCAGGCTTGTGGATCTAAAGCTGTATAATTGTAAGAGACTTCAGAAACTTCCAGATACTTTGAGCAGTCTAGACAAACTACCTCATCTTAATCTTTCTAATTGTGGGAGCCTTAGGTCTATACCCAGTGGCATTTGGAAGATGCAATCCCTCGAGGTCTTAGATCTTTCTGATTGCTCAAAGTTGGAAGAAATCCCACAAGTTTTGGAGCGCAATGACTGCTTGGGAAGTATTGATTTGAGTGGAACAGCTATAAGAGAGTTGCCCTCTTCAATTGAAAGGCTCGTTAGACTTGATTGTTTGCGGTTAGACGACTGCCGAAACCTCTCTGCGGTACCAGAGACATTGTGGAATATAGCAACTCTGTCTTGGTTCAGATTTCTTGGAACAAACATAAGACAACTGCCACTGTTTCAAAAAGATTTGACGAAGATGGATTACTTGTGTATTTCAGGATGTGAGAGTCGAGATCATGTGCCGTTGTCATTTCCACCATTGTTGAGAGTCTGTTCTCTAACGAGACTCGAAATGATGGGTTTGCACATCTTGCATATCCCTGCGGAAATTGGTTGTTTAACATCGTTGATATTCTTAAATTTGAGCAGAAACGACTTCAAGATTTTACCTGATAGTATCAAGCATCTTTCCAAGCTGCAGTTTCTTGGCCTAAGCTATTGCAGGAAACTTGAATCATTGTTCGAGGATATCAGTTGTCTAATATCATTGAGAATCTTAGATTTGAGAGGCAATGACTTCAAGGTTCTGCCTGCTAGTATCAAGCATTTGCCAAAGCTTGAAGAGTTTCACATAAGCTATTGCAGGAGACTTGAGTCATTATCAGGGCTTCCTAGTAGTCTATGGCATTTTGTTGCACATGACTGTTCATCTTTGGGAACTATATCGAGTGATATGAAATTTGTTCATCAAATAGTGGGAGGAAAATACATATTCAGTAATTGTCTCAAACAAAAGGAAGATATGAGCGTAAAGGTACAAACTGCTGCAAAGTCATTGTTCCAGACTGCGAGTCCATATTTTTTGGTTGGTTTCTCTCATCCTCTATTTGTATATTGTCTGTGCACTGTGGAATATGTCACCAGACTTGGTTTATTTATCCTGATTAGTCAGTGGCACCTACGGTTATTATGCAAGAGTGGTTGCGGTTTTTTGCCATCCAGGGAAAGGAGATGGTGTGTGGTTTAACTGGTTTTCGTACAAACCCCTCATTCCGTGTTTTCTTCATCCATACAGTTTTCTGTTTTTGTTCAAAGATATAATTCCCTAAACTTGAAGCCTGATATCATCTCTTTGATGGCACAGAATGGCGTCGTAATGTGTTTACCAGGCAGAAACATTCCAGATTGGTTTACTGGTCGTGGAACAGGAGCTTCAGTTACCTTGCAATTGCCTACAGGATTGCGTGACAACAATTCCATAGGTTTAGCTCTATGCATTTCTGTTGCATTCACAGACTATTCTCCAAAATTAGGACTAACCATTCACGGTGATTTCCGCCTGGAGAGTCGAGAAGACTACTTTCATGAGAAGGAGGCATGGGATTTCGATCTGAAACCATTCGAAAGAGAATCTATGCAAGCGCCAGCCGACGTTCAAACCCGATTTCTCAGGTCAGATCACATATTCCTCTGCTCCAGAAATCTGTACGTCGAGGAATGCAATAATCACAAGACGGTGACCGTCACGTTCCACCTTTTGGACGGAGCAGATATGCCTCTAGAGTGTTGCAGGGTGGAGAAGTGTGCCTATTACGTGCTACCGTCTTGAAATGGATCGACGTATCGCATGCATTCATGAGTGTATTGATTTTTACGTGTGTGTGAAGCCAGGCGGCTTGTTTTCGTATCTTTTTCAAGGTTGTCGGGATTGCTGTCCATAATATCATGGACTAACACATAACAATATCAAAATCCTTACCTTGGAGTAGGAGAGCTCTCCCCCCTTAATTTTTACTCCCTCCGTTTCAAAATATTTGTAGTTTTAGATTATTATCCATTTTTCAAAATATTTGTCATTTTACATTTCCAATACATTTTTTTTAAATAATTTCCAATTTTATCCTTACCAAATTCCAATACATTATTAATGATAATATTGTTTTTATTATTAAATAAAGGGTATATATGACTTTTATTTTCATTTCTTAAAAAATGTGAAATAAGTTAAAACAACAAACATTTTGAAACGGAGGGAGTAATAAGTTTACAATTTATGGTACGGATGAATGAACAAAAATATTCTTGGTTTTAAAAATTTGTTACTTTCAATAATTGTATTGAAACAATGCATGATATTTTTTTTAAAAAACTTTTTTCTAAATCAATAGTCCATTCGTAAACAAATTCCGTGATGATCTAGTATTTGAAAAGAAATTGAGGTTATTTTTAGAAATTCCTCAAATCATTATGTTTGATGGAAATTTAGGTTGCAGAATCCATCGTACTGAAAGTCTCGTTTTCGAAGTGCCCTGTCGAATTGTATTCTCCAGTCATACACTTGGTCTTTATATCACAATTAACTAAATTGACGTTTTTGCCCTTCTTCCAATATAGAATTACTATCTTACCCTTTACGTTTTAGGCCTTAAGGCAGCCGCTACTATCACAGCCCATGGGCCTGAGCGGCAAACATTCTGCGTGTGATACAAAGGTAATAATTTTGTGGTGACATATTTTCCTTTAGTTGTGGGGTAAATTGTTTTTAATTAATTTATATATATTTATATTTGCATCCTACAAATATAAAGAGTCCGCAAACTCCAAAAGATTCCTGTCCGCTGACTTGGATTATTCTGCAATTGCAGCAAGGTCTCTTGCTCTGAAAACCTCTTCTTCTTCTTGCACCATGAGCGGATCAAACCAAGGACGCGGCGTTAGCCATCAGATCGTCGGTGATGGTTCTTCACTTCCTCTTGTCGGCTCTAAACGCCGAAGACGAACATTCGATGTCTTCATCAGCTTCAGAGGTTTAGACACTCGCAGGGACTTCACAAGCCATCTCCGCAAAGCACTGTCTGAGAAAGGTATCGACGTTTTCGTCGACGACCGGCTCGAGAGAGGGGATGAGATCTCGGAAGCCCTTGTGGAGGCCATCCATGGATCTCTACTGTCTTTGGTCGTCTTCTCTGAGGACTACGCTTCATCCAGGTGGTGCTTGGAAGAGCTCGTTCAGATCCTTCGATGCAGGAAAACAATGGACCAATTGGTTATACCCATCTTCCACAACGTCGATCCTTCACACGTACGGTGGCAAAAGAAGAGATTTGCTGCTGCATTTGAGCGGCACGAAGAGAGATACAAGGACGACACGGAGAAAGTGAACATGTGGAGGACTGCGTTACACGAAGTAGCCAATCTTTCTGGTCATAATTCATCAGAATTCACGTAAGTAGCTGCCGCTAACTTGTCGTCGCCATTTCTTCGTGATTTTGTCTATTCTTGAATCTGACTCAGAAATATTTCACAGATCTGATTCCATGTTGGTCGACGCAGTTGTTAGAGATACTCTCGAAAAACTACATCGCATATCGCGTAGACCAAACCCTAACAATGGTTTAGTGGGGATTGATTCACGGATGGAGAAGGTTATGGGGTTGTTAGACTTTGGTGCAGAAGATATTCGCGTCGTGGGGATATGGGGAATGGGTGGAATTGGTAAGACCACTCTTGCTGAAGCTGTGTTCGACCAAATCTCTGGCGGATTCGAGGGCTCTTATTTCTTCAGGAATGTTAGAGAAACTGAAGAGAAGGGTAATCTTGTTGAGAGGAGAAATGAGTGTCTATCTGTGATTTTGGGGGAAAATCTACGAGTAGGAACATCTATGCTACCGAGCTTTGTGGTTAGTAGGCTTCGTCGTAAAAGAGTACTGGTTGTGCTTGATGATGTGAACCATCAGAGACAACTTGAAATTTTGTTTAAAGGGCTCGATGAGTCTAGTGCTGGAAGCCGTGTGATCATAACCACACGAGATAAACATTTGCTCAGCATTTTCCCGAAAGACAAAGTAAAAGTATATGATATGGAGGGATTAAACAATGATGAAGCATTGCAACTGTTTTGCCGCAATGCTTATGTCTCAGGCCTTCAGACTGAAGGATATGGTGAGCTCGCAATGAAGGTGGTTCATTATGCTTCTGGCATTCCTTTGGCACTTAAAGTCTTTGCTTGCTCTCTTCGGGGCAGGGGCAAACACGAGTGGGAAAGTGCCTTGAACAAGCTCAGGAAAGTTGCCAACATGGAGATTAGCAACATATTGAAAGTTAGCTACGACGGTCTAGAAGACAAAGAAATACAAAACATATTTCTTGATATTGCTTGTTTCTTCAAGGGGCAAGATAAAGATCACGTGACCGGATTGCTAGATGGTTGTTATCACGCTGCGTCTTATGGGTTAAGTGTTCTCGATGATAAGGCACTTATAAATTTAAGAAGGAACAGGATTGAGATGCCAGATCCGCTGCAAGAGCTTGGTTGGGATATTGTCATACAAGAATGCGAGTCAGAGCCTGGGAGAAGGACTCGATTGTGGAGACCTGATGATGTTCACCGTCTTCTCAAAAGGAATAATGTAAAAAGAAATGCCACCATTCATTCCTTAGTATGCAAGTTTATGTCATTTTTCCTTCTGGCCCCCTTTATATTTCAACATGGTAAGAATGCTTTGCACTGACGGCAGTTTGGCTCGCTTTACAGGGTACAGAGGCAGTCAAAGGAATATACTTGGATTTGTCAAAAGTAATGAAGTTGGACATAAAACCGGATGTCTTCGAGAAGATGTACAATCTCAGACTCCTTAAATTCGATAACAGCAAAGGGGTAAACACTAAAGTGTGTCTGCCACATGGCCTCGAATCTCTTCCTGATGAGTTAAGGTACTTATGTTGGCCTGAGTTTCCACTGAAGCACCTACCCTCTGAATTTTGTCCAGAGAATCTTGTTGAGCTTGACATGAGACATAGCACTCTTAACAGGCTCTGGAGCGGTGCTCAGGTAGATGGAACATTCTTTTTGTTTGAATAAAAAGTAATCAATCGATCTTGAAGAGAGTAATCTGACCGACTATCATTTATCCATGCAGAACCTGGGTAGCTTAAAGATTTTAAATTTGGACTGGTCAGAGAAGCTGAAAGAATTGCCCGATCTATCAAGGGCCCAAAATCTTGAGCGGATTGATCTGTATGGATGCTGTCAGATTGAAGAATTCCCTAAGTTCCCAAAAAACATAGAAGAAATAAATATGGCTGGGACCGCGATAAGAGAAGTGCCTTCTTCAATTCAACATCTCTCCAGACTTGTCAAACTCAATCTATTCCATTGTAAGAGACTCGAGAAGCTTCCAGATACTTTGAGCAATCTAGAAAGCCTTGAAGATCTGACTCTATCAGAAAGCAGAAACATAAAAAGGTTCCCAGCCCTTCCGAGGAAAATAAAACTCCTTGACTTTGATGGTGTTGGAGTAGTAGAGCTTTCCCCCTCAATTGGTTCTCTCCACATGCTATCTCGTCTTGATCTTAGGCATTGTAGGAACCTTATGTTTTTACCCAGTGACATTTGGAAGATGCAATCTCTTAAGTCCTTAAGTCTTTCTGATTGCTCAAAGTTGGAAGAAATTCCAGAAGTTCTGGAGAGTAACGAGTGCTTGAAAGAGATTATGTTAAGCAAAACAGCCATAAGAGAATTGCCCTCTTCAATTGAAAGGCTTCTCAAACTTGAGTATTTGAAGGTTAACGACTGCCGAAATTTCTCTGTGCTACCGGCGACATTGTGGAATCTGGAAAAGTTAGGATCATTAGATGTTAGTGGAACATCCATAAAACAACTGCCGCCCATTAAAGAGGAGACGACGAGGCTCACCGGCCTGCGTATTTCGGGATGTGATAGTCGAGACCCTATGGCATTATCAGTTCCTCCCTTGTCGAGATTATGTTCTCTGACGACCCTTGAAATGTCGAATTTGCATATTGAGCAGATCCCTGAGGACATTGGTCGTCTGACATCATTGATAAGATTAGATTTGAGTCTAAATGACTTCAAAACTTTGCCTGCTAGTATCAAGCATCTTTCGAACCTGGGAAGTCTGGACCTAAGCTACTGCAGGGGGCTTGAATCATTGCCAGAGGACATTGGTTGTCTAACATCGTTGCGGAGCTTAAATTTGAGAGGAAATGACTTCAAAACTTTGCCTGCTTGTATCAAGCATCTCTCGAACCTGGGAAGCCTGGACCTAAGCTACTGCAGGGGGCTTGAATCATTGCCGGAGGACATTGGTTGTCCAACATCATTAAAAAGCTTAGATTTGAGCGGAAATGACTTTAAGAGTTTACCCGCTAATATCAAGCGTCTCTCGAAGCTGGAAAAGCTTGATGTAAGCTACTGCAGGAGGCTTGAATCACTACCGGAGCTCCCTAACAATCTATGGAGTTTAAATGCACATGGATGTGCATATTTGGAGACTATATGGGGCAATATGGAATTTGTTGCTGGACCATTTGGAGTAAGCTACATATTCAGTAATTGTCTCAGATTGCAGGAGGATGCCAGAGTCAAGATAGTAGCTGCTACAAAGTTGTTGTCTCAGACTCTGAGAAAACGTCCTTGGGTAGGTTTCTGTCATTGTATCTGTGTAATAGGCGAGCATGTAGCTCAATCAATTTGTGGGCCACGCTTGAAAATTATGGGGGTTTTAATAGATTGAGTTCGTGGAGGTGATAGTCTCTTGCTATACTTGAGTTACTTTAGAATCGCATTGATAAATATGAGAAGCTGGAGTTAGATAGTGAGTAGCACCTAGTGGTTATGGTTTTGTGGGTCTTTGGACAAATTCCTCGTTTGTGTGTGTGTGTGTTTTTGTAAAGACGGTGTGTGAGTTGCATGGATGCAATCTGTATAGTTTTCTGTTTGTGTTCTTAAAAATTTTTCCTAGCAATAATTTTAGGGAGTTCAAAACCTAATATAACTCTCTTGCTCTCTTTGATTGTACAAAGTGGTGGAATAGGTGGGGTGTGTATACCGGGCTGCAACATTCCGGACTGGTTCACTCATTGGGAAAGAGGGCCTACCTTGCAATTGCCTTTGGGACTTTGTGAAGTGAGCTCTGAAGAGTTACTTCTATGCATTTCTGTTGCATTCACAGACCGCTCTCTGGAATCAGGATTATACATTCGTGCTGAATGCTGTTTCGACGACGGAGAAGGCGAAGATCCTAACAAGTTACCAGCCAGATCCGGTTTAACACCATTTGAGATAAAAGGATCACGGGCAGAATCACAAGTTCAGCGCCAGTATGTAAGGTCAGATCACTTGTTTTTCTTCTACGATACACTTGGATTACACCTGAGGAAATATGACTGCGCGTCTACTATGACATTCCACCTTTTAGATGGAAAAAGAAACCCTCTGGAATGTTGTAAGGTGGAAAAGTGCGGGTATTACATCGTACCTGCTTGACTTGTGACTCTTTACCAACTCCAAATTAATTCTGTTTAATCTTTTATCAAATAAAAAAATAAAAATCCAATAATAATCAAATCCAAAAAACTAAAACCAACAAAAATATATAAGTATTCTGGATTTTATTTTAAATATTTTTTTTATCTTTTATTCATTTATTTCTAAATATCTATCATATTAATAAATTTGTTTTTATACAAATCTCATAATTGATTTAACAGAGAAATCTATTGAGAAATTTCTCAAAAAAATTTACAGTGTCCAAAATTTAATGATCTATTTAACGGAATAAATTCAAAATTGCTCATTTATATGACAGTTTTTAGTCATATTAAAATAACTTTGCGTAATCGGATTGGTGATCAGCCTTTGAGTGATTTTCTAATTTGTTTTATTGAAAAAAATATGTTTGAGATAATTATAAATGAAGTTGTTAGGGATAGATTTAAAAAAATGAAAGATCGGAGAATTTAGCTATATAATGAAAAATATTTTTCTGATAATATATTTTTATTAGTTTTTTATATTTTATATCATATTTATATTTGTTGCCCCCGTTGAAAAAAATTTCTGGATCCGCCACTGCTTGTGACCGCTTCTTTATGGCCACAGGTGCCTCTATGTTCCCTCCAGGTTGTTTACCATCGATCAAATAGTTTTTTTTTTTTGATAACGGAGGACCCCTAGCTGCTACCCTTCGGGCGCGCTGACTAGGTAAATCTCTGGTCCGGGAGCGGCCTTTGTATATGGATCGTATAAATCCAGAAATTATCTCCCTCCCCACCAGTCAGGAATCGAACACTCAACCTCAAGGTGAAGTTAACTCCTACCCAAGTTTGACCACTCGCCCACGATCTGTTGGGTTAAAATATGTTTTGCATGTTCTCTTACCACCAGACTACCCAACGATAGTTAGACAAAAACATTTCGTTCTGAACTGCATGCCATGGATTTTACAACACTGATCATAATGAAAAGCCTCTGATAAAATTTTCATTAAAATAAAAATACTTATTTTGTGTCAATTGCTAAATCTCTTCAGTCTTTTGCGAAAAGAAAATAGATGAAAATGAAAACAAGAACAAAAAGGTTAAACATAAAACATTAAAAAAAAATAGTTGTGGGGTAAATTGTTTCTAATTAATTTATATATTTATATTCACATCCTACATATATATATATATATATATATATATATATATATAGAGAGAGCCCAAAAAC